AGAATATGAAAGTTCACAGAATAGAAAAATAAGTAACTCAAATATGTAAGATTGACTATTTTTTTAAGAAAGAAAAACCACATTAATTTCCCTTTTTTCACCTATTGGATTAAAAAAATTTAATAACTAGCTTTAGTGAGAAAAGAGAAAATAATTACTGCTCATGCTACCAGAGAGAATATGAATTGGTATAGCTTCTATGGAGAGTATATATCAGAATTATAAATGCACACACTCTTTGCATGTATTTCCAGAAATTCTACTTCTGGAAATGTATTCAGAAACATATCCACCTATGTGCAAATCATTTAAAAAAAAAAAAAAACAGTATGATCTCTCATTTCAGGAATGTGGCATCTTCAGGGACAGTTACCTGCTTTTTAAAGGTGAATTATAGTTTAATATACTACAAGTCCTATACTATGGATGGGAACTATTATAGTTTATAATGTCACAAATTTTCTCAGACCAAAGGTATCTTCCACAAAGGTAACAGACTGGGTTGACCCATCATTCAATGATTTTCTAGGGTGTAGAGGCATGGCTACTATTACTGCCACCTCATTAGGTGTGAATAACTCAAGTCATAGAAGGAAAAATGTGCCTTCTACATTAGAAAGTAACAGATTGTGAGATAGAAAAAGAGGAAATCTATCTTCCTTAGAACAGATTTACAGTTTAGAAAATTCAAAAGAATATCTGTCTGAAAATGAACCATGCGTGGATAAATATAAACCAGAAACTCAGCATGAACATGCTGTGCATTTAATTAAAAAAAAAAAAAAAAGGAAGTTTTTGAAACCTAGTTAAAAGCTCAAGTCTTAGAAAGGTAGCCAAAACAGGATGGATCTATTTTATTAATAACAGCTCCTCCTGGATATGGAAAGACAATGACCATAAAAAAGCTATCAAAGGAGCATGGTATTCAACTACAAGAGTGAATTAATCCAGTTTTACCAGACTTCCAAAAAAGGTGATTTCAAAGAAAAGTTTAATACTGAATTAAGCTTCCATATGTTTCCCTATCAGTCTCAGACAGCAGTTTTCAAAGAGTTTCTACTAAGAGCAACAAAGTATAACAAGTTACAAATGCTTGGAGATGATCTCAGAACTGATAAGAAGATAATTCTGGTTGAAGATTTACCTAACCAGTTTTATTGGAATTCTCATGCTTTACGTGAAGCTCTAAGGAAGTATGTGAAGATTGGTTGATGTCCTCTTATATTTATAATCTCTGACAGTCTCAGTCGAGATAATAATCAAAGGTTATTGTTTCCCAAAGAAATTCAGGAGGAATATTGTATCTCAAATATTAGTTTCAACCCTGTGGCACCAACAATTACGATTAAATGTCTTAATCCAATAGTGATTATAGAAGCTAACAAGAATGAAGGAAAAATTACTGTCCCTGACAAAACTTCTCTAGAGTTGCTCTGTCAAGGATGTTCTGGTGACATCAGAAGCGCAATAAACAGCCTCCAGTTTTCTTCTTCAATTAGGAGAAAACAACGCATGGCCAAGTAATAGTCCAAATGAAGAAGAAAACCTGATAGGGTTTTTGAAAATGAAGAGGTCCAAGCTATTGGTGGCAAAGATGTTTCTCTGTTTCTCTTCAGAGCTTTGGGGGAAATTCTAATTTTAAAAGAGCCTCTTTATCAGAATTATACTTACGTCAGTTGCCTCTCATTTACCAAAATATTGCTTGTTGAACCTGAGATTGTAGTAGAAAACTCACACATGCCAGGAGAATTATCTAATTTATATCTTCACCTAAACTATGTAGATTTCTTTGTGGAAATTGATGATATTGTGAGAGCCAGTGAATTTCTAAGCTTTGCAGATATCTTCAGTGGTGACTGCAATACACGCTCTTCACTCAGGGAATACAGCACATCTATAGATACGAGAGGGTGATACATTCCAACAAAGTCTGAGGATACTCTCATTGCCAACGAGGAGGATCAAGTTTTTGACTCTTGCACAAACCCCAGTGGTTTCTAATAAATAAAAACTATTGGGAAAATTCCCTGGCAGCAAAAGCACTTTTTCCTGACTTCCATCTACCAGCTTTATGCCTCCAAACTCCGCTATTGCCGTACTGACTACTAATCATTCCATTGAGAAATCAAGCTCAGATTTCTTTTATCTAAGATACTGGAAGGCTCCCTCTGAAGTGACACTTTGGAAGATTGAAAATGGAAGCCCTGACTGACAAGGAGCATGGAATGATAGAACCTGACAGTGGAGATGAAGCCCAACTTAATGAAGGACATTAAGCCCAGCTTCATGCAGTGGTATCTCTGGGTGAATCTACTCAAGCCACCGAGCCGGAAACCTGGTCTCCTCCTTTGAGTCAGAATAGTGCTAGTGAACTGTCTGCCAGCCATTCTCAGCCCTTTTCAGCCCAAGGAGACGTGGAAGAAAACATAATAATCGCAGACTATGAGAGGGATAAATATATATACATATTCACATAGATTTCAGTTATATACCTGCAAACCTCTGGGAGAAAACATAAGAAAAAGTAATACAGCATACTTACAGAAGCCAGCAGTAGGGGGAAGAATTTTTATCTTTTGAAGTTTTTTGTGGTTAAACTCAAAATGACCCCCCAAAAATGTATTAAATAGGGAACTCCCACTTAGGTTGTTTGTACATTCTGCAATGTGCAAGAATGAAAGAATGTGAACGTAGCCAAATATTAATAGCTTTTTTGTAAAAACTTTTTTAAAAACTAAATTAAAAATCTTTTACTTTCCTGAAATCTCATAATAGGTGTTCACTGGAAACAAATACATTTTTCATAATACCCCTTTATCTCTGGATATAGAATTGATTATTTTTTATTTTTTAAAATTATTTACTTTAGGTGCTACTATATCTGGCATTTCTCCCCATGTTATCCCTCCCCATCCCCCCGCTGTCTTTCCCTACCCCCCTCAACTGCCCCCAGTGTGTGATGCTCCTCTCCCTGAGTCCACATGTTCTCATTGTTCAACACCCACCTATGAGTGAGAACATATGGTGTTTGCTTTTCTGTTCTTGTGTTAGTTTGCTGAGAATGATGGTTTCCAGAGTCATCCAAGTCCCTACAAAGAACTCAAACTCGTTTTTTATGGCTGCATAGTATTCCACAGTGTATATGTACCACATTTTCTTTGTCCAGTCTATCATTGATGGGCATTTGGGTTGATTCAATGGAAGTCTAGTATTTCTTTTTTTTTTTGAGACAGAGTTTCCAGTCAACACTCAGAAACAGGTTGTTCAGTTTCCAAGTGGTTGTGCGGGTTTGTGTGTGTTTCTTGATCCTGAGTCCTAGTCTGACTGCGCTGTGGTCTGATAGACTGTTTGTTATGATTTCTGTTCTTTCGCATTTGCTGAGAAGTCATTTGCTTCCAATGATGGCGTCAATTTTAGAGTATGTGCAATGTGGTGCTGAGAAAAATGTATATTCTGTGGATTTGGGATGGAGTGTTTTGTATATGTGTATTAGGTCCACTTAGTCCAGCTCTGCATTCAAGTCCTGGATATCCTTGTTAATTTTCTGTCTCATTGATCTAACATTGAGAGTGGAGTGTTGAAGCCTCCCACTATTATTGTGTGGGAGTCTAAATCTCATTTTAGGTCATTAAGAACTTGCTTTAGGGCCGGGCATGGTGGCTCACGCCTGTCATCCAAGCACTTTGGAGGCCAAGGTGGGCGGATCACCTGAGTTGGGAGTTCAAGACCAGCCCGACCAACACGGTGAAACCCCGTTTTTAAAAAAAAAAAAAGAGAGAACTTGCTTTATGTATCTGGGTGCTCCTGTGTTGAGGGCGTATGTATTTAGGATACTTAGCTCTTCCTGTGGGATTGATCCTTTTACCATTATGTAGTGTCCTTCTTTGTCTCTTTTGATCTTTGTTGAAGTCCATTTTATCAGAGACTAAGATGACAACCCCGGCTTTTTTTTTGTTCTCCATTTTCTTGGTAAATCTTGCTCTATCCCTTTATTTTGAGTCTATGTGTGTCTTTGTATGTGAGATGGGTTTCCTGAATACAGCACACCGATGGGTTCTGAATTTTTATCCAGTTTGCCAGTCTGTGTCTTTTCATTGGGGCGTTTAGGCCATTTACATTCAATGTTAACATTGTTATGTGTGGATTTGATTCTGCCATTTTGTTACTGACTGGTTTTCTTTCCCATTAGTTGCCTCATTTTCTTCATTGCATTTTTGGTCTTTGCCAACTGGTTTGCTTTTGTAGTGACTGGTACTTGTTCCTTTCCATGCTTAGTGTTTCTTTCAGGAGCTCTTGTGGAGCAGGTCTGGTGGTGACAAAATCTCTCCATAATTCCTTGTCCATAAAGGATTTTATTTCTCCTTCACTTACGAAGCTTAGTTTGGCTGGATATGAGATTCTCCCCACTCTCTTCTGGCTTGTAGGGTTTCTGCAGAGAGATCTGCTGTGAGTCTGATTGGCTTCCCTCTGTGGGAGACCTGGCCTTTCTCTCTGGCTGCCTGTAGCATTTTTTCCTTCATTTCAGCCCTGGTGAATCTGACGATTATGTGCTTTGGGGTTGCTCTTCTTAAGGAATATCTTTGGGGAGTTCTCTGTATTTCTTGAATTTGAAATTTGGACTGCCTTGCTAGGCTTGGGAAGTTCTCCTGGATAATATCCTGGAACCTGTTTTCCAGCTTGGATTCATTTTCCCCATCATATTCAGGTACACCGATCAAGCATAGATTAGGTCTTTTCACATAATCCCATATTTCTTGCAGGCTTTGTTCATTTCTTTTCACTCTTTTTTCTCTTGTCTTGCCTTCTCTTTTTATTTCATTGAGTTGATCTTCAATCTCTGATATCCTTTCTTCTCCTTGATCAATCTGGCTATTAAAACTTGTGTTTGCTTCATGTAGTTCTTGTGCTGTATTTTTCAACTCCATCAAGTCATTTATGTTCTTCTCTATGCTGGTTATTCCAATTAGCATTTTGTCTAACTTTTTTTCAAGGTTTTTTGGTTGCTTTGCTTTGAGTTAGAGCATGTTCCTTTAGCTCAGAAATGTTTGTCATTAGCCACCTTCTGAAG